TGGCATATGGATCTTTATCCACTATTTCTGAAAAAGGTTCAACTAACTGTTCTCCCTTTTAACCTCTCTTCTCTATTCTTCGTGTTTCTAATTTCTCCACTAATTTATTATCTGGTATTAGTAGTATTACCAAATCCTTAAATTATTTAGTATTTTTTTTCCTACTCATTACATCTTTCAGGAATTAGAATCTGGGAAACCGATTGGCAGTGGTAGCGCAAATGGCAGCTTATACCTCTTGGATGTTGAAGCTTCTTCTAAGTCTAGCGGTCAAGCTCTTTAGACAAATGGTGTTTCAACCCGTCAGCTCTTACAGTGGCATAGACGTTTGGGATATCCCTCATTTGGTATTTTAGAGCATCTTTTTCTAGTCTATTGAAGCAATATAGTAGATAATCTTTTGTTTGTGATAATTTTGAAAATGCCAACCAGAAATATTTATCTTATCCTAGTACTAACCATAAAAGCACTTCACATTTTGCCATTAATCATTCAAATATGTGGGGCCCTTCCGGTGTTGTGTCAACTTATGGTTATCATTGGTTTGTTACATTTATTGATTGTTATTTTTGTCTTACTTGGATTTACGTACTATGTAGTACTAGTGAAGTTTTCACATACATTAGATCTTTTCATAAAATGGAGAGTACTCAATTTAACGCCAAAGTCAAAATTCTTCGAAGTAATAACGAACTAAGTATATTGATAGGGAATTTCATTCTTATCTTAATAAAAATGGCATCTAGCATCAAATTACTTGTGTGAGTACCCCTAAGCAAAATGGTGTTATTAAACGAAAAAATTATCATCTTCTTGAGGTTGCTCGTTCATTGATGTTTACTGTAAATGTTCCTCAATCTTTTGAGGGGATGTCTTATCTTATTAATCGTTCTACCCTCGAGTGTCATTCGGTTTAAATCTATTTCTTCCCTTCTCCCTAAAATTTTTGAGTGTGCTTGTTTTGTACACAATTACAGACCCTCTAGAGGAAAACTTAACCTCGGGACTCTGCAATGTGCTTTTGTTGATTACTCTGCCACCCAAAAAGGATATAAATGTTATAATCCTGAGTCACAGAAAATATATGTTAACATAGATGTTACCTTTCTTGAATTTGAATCCTTCTTCTTTACTACCCAGGAATCTCTTCAAGGGGAGAATACTACTTTATAGGAAAAGATGTTTTGCCATGAGCCTCTTCTTCAATTGCCTATTCACTGGAATGCTAGTCAAGGCGAACTTATAGGTAAAAAAGGTGATGGTAGTGATCCACATGGTGTTCACTTTCACAAGGATAATATAAACACTTATTCTCAATGTCAAGAGTCTCTTCTTCAATTGTCTGGAATATTAGTCAAGGGGAACAACTTATGAAAAAAAAAGTGATGGTAGTGATCTACATGGTGTTCACCTTCACAAAGATAATCCGAAAACTTATTCTCGACGTCAAAAAGTACAGATTATCTTTCATTAATTTCATAGTCCAGACATGTCTTCAAGGGGAGAATACCACTATAAGGGAAGAGATGTTTTGCCAAGAGCCTCTTCTTTAATTGCCTATTCACGGAATGTTAGTCAAGGTGAGAAACAACTTATGGAGAAAAACAGTGATAGTAGTGAACCACATGGTGTTCACCTTCAAAAGGATAATCTAAAGACTTATTCTCAATGTCAGGAGCCTCTTCAATTATCAGGAATGTTAGTCAAGGCGAACAACTTATGGAGAAAAAAGGTGATGGTTGATTCACATGGTGTTCACCCTCACAAGGATAATCTAAAAACTTATTCTAGATGATAAAAAGTACAAATTACACATGTGCCACCGCATCAGTCGGATTCCTCAGATTTAGTTCCATCCTCCACTGATTTAGCTGGCAACAAACCTCTAGATGTTACTCCTATTGATAATATAGTTGTTGATGACTTTGATCTTACTATTGCAGTTAGAAAGGGTGTTAGAGTTTGTACTCAACATCATATCTCCAATTTTGTCTTTTATAATTCCGAGTCTCCATCCTATCGTACTTTTGTTTCCTCCTTATATTATGTGTCCATTTCTCAAGGTTGGAAAGAAACTCTCACTGATTCTAAGTGGGAAGAATCTATGATAGTGGAAATAAAAGCCTTAAAAAAAAAGACTCATGGGAGTTAGTTCCAATTCCTCCTCGAGTAAGGGCAGCGGGGTGCAAATGAAAGTTTACTGTCAAACAACAAGTTGATGGGACTGTTGAGAGGTACAATGCTAGGCTAATTGCTAAGGGATTTACTCGGACATATAGTATTGATTATCTAGAGACTTTTACTCCTATGGCAAAGATGAATTTCATACGTGCTCTTATCTCTTGTGGAGCTAATTTGAGATTAAGTTTGTAGAAGTTGGAGGTAAAAAATACCTTTGTACATAGAGATTTGGAGGATGTTTACATGGAGATTCCTTCAAGATTTCATCTCTAATAACTAAAAATAAAATGTGTGAGTTGAAGAAGTAAGAAATCTCCCAGACCGTTTGATAGATTTTTTAAAGTGATGCTGAAATTTTAGGTATAAACAAAGTCATGCTAACAATCATATGTTCGACAGTTCTCATTATATATGTGGATGACATAGTGATAACCGGGAATGATGAGCATCAAGTGACCAAATTAAAGACTTGGCTAAGGAGTTTAAAATCAAGGACTTGGGTCCATTGAGGTACTTCCTTGGGATAGAGGTTGCCAGATTAGATAAAGGCAATTTTATCTCTAAGAAAAAATATATTTTTGATCTTCTTGAAGAAATAGGAATTTTGGATAGAGACCCACAGGTTCTCCTATTAAAGTCAACCAGTTTTGTCTAGTATCAGCAGAGGGGTTTGAGGAAATCTAAGAAATATGAGCTGGAGACCGCATAGTCAACTCCACACCCTTGGGTCGAACAACCATGAAACTTCAAACAGTAGTATGGTGTTCTTTCCCACAATAATCACATCTCAACAGATCACGATTACTGACATTACTTTTCCCACTAGTCTTGGGCTAACTGGCATTGCTATCTCGTGAAGTAGGATTAACAAGCAAAGTAGAATAGTCCTGACTAAGAGTGTATACTATAGCACTATGCCAACTTTTCTCTTGTTGAACACAGACATAGGCCTCTCACAACATGAGAAAAGGAGAACAAACTAAAATTAAACTCAAATCTGATCATAGTCCATGTTTAGGCCAGCAAGAAAATCATATACCTGTACTTCTCCAACATTTGCTGAAAGACAACAACATCCTTGCCAGGAAACTCTAATAATAGTCAAGTTTCAGCCACAAACTACTCAATTCAGCATAATACTCAACAAGAGATCTGTCTTTCTGATCTAACCCACAAAATTTCTTCCTGAGTTCATACACATGTGCATCATTACCCTTCTGTGAATATGTATATGCAACTACAAACCAAATCTTTTGTGTTGGGTCCATCAACAAGAAGGTGCGACTAACAAATGACTGCATTGAGTTAATCAACCAAGTCATAACAAAAGCATTCCCCGATTGCCATTTCTTTCGTGCTGGTCCATCTATCATAGGGTCCTTAAGAGTTCTTGTAATGTAACCAGTTACGCCACGCGCACTAATAGCCAAACTACCAGATCGTGACCAAATCAAATAATTGGTGCCATCCAACTTAACCGAACTAATCCATAAGGGATGGACTATCTCTAAGGGTCCCAACATGACTCAACCCATTAGCCTCGTTGCCACTGAAAGGCTTACTACTGGCTCCAAAAGTCTTACTATTGACTGCCATGTCCACCAAACAATTATAGCACCCCAAATATCAAAGAACTGATTTAATTACCTACAAACCACCAAAGCCCAAGAATCCTTGCAAGGAATAAATTACCCACAATAAAAAATGAAGGGTACCAAATCATATCAGAAAAGTGATAACGAGGTACAAAAGTTGTTCAAGAAAAAGAGTAGATTTGGCCAAAGAATCATCAAAATAGATGAAATAACAATTGGGTATGGGCAAGAGAAGAAGGTAATTTCGGACCTCAAGGGAGCTATGTCAGCATCAAACAAGCTAGAATAAGCAATTTGGAAAATTAGACCAATAATTCCGAAAAATAGAAAAATACATCAATGAACTCAAAAACCAAAAAAAAAAAAGTCTGGAAGTATTATAACCCTAGTCGATCATACTGAAATATATTTTTTTTGTTTTAGTGTTTAGCAAAAAACAAGAAAAAAACTTTGGGGGAATAAAGAAGATTTACGTTACTGAAAAAAAAAATGAAAATAATACCAACTTATGGTGGATCGAGCTCTAATACCCTGTCAAAATATGACGAGAGAAAGAAACAGAAGAGGTAGAGAAGAACAGAGTTTTTATGAATCTAGTGACTGTTGTGAGAAAACTCCAATAATTAGATTAGGATTATCTTCATTAACCCCATGTATTTATAATAATAAGACTGCAAGTACATAAATACCTCACATGGCTAAAAGATATCTCTTAACAGTAACAATCAGTGTAAGGAATGAAAGAACTCCCATAAAATATTGTGTTCCTACAACCTTAAGTTTACAGTGAAGGTCAGCCCGATCCCATAGGACAATAGACAGCATAATGTTAAACGAAAAGCTTCAGAGCACTGATCCCTCGAAAAATAAAAAGGTAAACCAATTTCAGCAGTACATCTTGCTTAAATGGAATGAAGATGATTGTCAGAATTATATAATACATTTGACTCAAAGTGCAGCAAATTTAACAACAAAATCATAGTAACCTAAGTTTTAGAAATGAATAAATCAAGCACACAACTGTACACAAATATTGCTTACCCCCAAAAAAACAAAGTCCATGTAAACATAATATTGCAGCAAATTCAACAGATAAATTATTGCATATATCAACTCAGACATAAAATAAGAAAGAAGAGGCCACGTACACAAAAGAAGCAGTTCTTAGAAATATAACTGCAAAACTATTATAACTAGGATAATTTATGACAGCATATTGGATTTTTAAGAGTAAGTATTATTCATTAGCTTTACCATTTCAGAGTAGCTTAGACCATAAAGATCATCATCATGGGCCCAGTCATCCATGTTAAACTCAGGCAACGGACGACAACCATTACCATAAAGCCATTGACCTTTCTCAATTTTTCGACAATTAGGGCACTGCATCGCTCCNCAAAAAAAAAAAAGTCTGGAAGTATTATAACCCTAGTCGATCATACTGAAATATATTTTTTTTGTTTTAGTGTTTAGCAAAAAACAAGAAAAAAACTTTGGGGGAATAAAGAAGATTTACGTTACTGAAAAAAAAAATGAAAATAATACCAACTTATGGTGGATCGAGCTCTAATACCCTGTCAAAATATGACGAGAGAAAGAAACAGAAGAGGTAGAGAAGAACAGAGTTTTTATGAATCTAGTGACTGTTGTGAGAAAACTCCAATAATTAGATTAGGATTATCTTCATTAACCCCATGTATTTATAATAATAAGACTGCAAGTACATAAATACCTCACATGGCTAAAAGATATCTCTTAACAGTAACAATCAGTGTAAGGAATGAAAGAACTCCCATAAAATATTGTGTTCCTACAACCTTAAGTTTACAGTGAAGGTCAGCCCGATCCCATAGGACAATAGACAGCATAATGTTAAACGAAAAGCTTCAGAGCACTGATCCCTCGAAAAATAAAAAGGTAAACCAATTTCAGCAGTACATCTTGCTTAAATGGAATGAAGATGATTGTCAGAATTATATAATACATTTGACTCAAAGTGCAGCAAATTTAACAACAAAATCATAGTAACCTAAGTTTTAGAAATGAATAAATCAAGCACACAACTGTACACAAATATTGCTTACCCCCAAAAAAACAAAGTCCATGTAAACATAATATTGCAGCAAATTCAACAGATAAATTATTGCATATATCAACTCAGACATAAAATAAGAAAGAAGAGGCCACGTACACAAAAGAAGCAGTTCTTAGAAATATAACTGCAAAACTATTATAACTAGGATAATTTATGACAGCATATTGGATTTTTAAGAGTAAGTATTATTCATTAGCTTTACCATTTCAGAGTAGCTTAGACCATAAAGATCATCATCATGGGCCCAGTCATCCATGTTAAACTCAGGCAACGGACGACAACCATTACCATAAAGCCATTGACCTTTCTCAATTTTTCGACAATTAGGGCACTGCATCGCTCCCTTTATATTAAATGCGGAACCAATGCAATCTGCAGGTAGCCATGCCCAGAAATGATGAATATTAGGAAAAATATAGCAGTTTAACATCTCATCAACAAATACTCGTGACTTAGGAAAGAACAGGAAAGGAATTGTTTATACTACAAAAACAATCCTTCCATTGAGTTTTACATGATATTTGAACATGCATGAGTATTTATTTAAATACTTTCCATGCTGAAAGGACGGTTACTCATGTGTATCATAATAGCATAGCAAGATATTTATGAAAAAGATCATTGATAACAGATTTCCAGTATATATCTTATACAGTGAACAAAGCAGATAAGGATCATTGTCTAAACTGAGTAGAGGGGGTTGACCACCATATTAAGTGATGAAAATCAAATGGTTAAAGTTGTTACATCATGAAATAAGTAGGTAATACAAAATTAGCAACCACTTAAAAAAATAAATTATAAAGCCCACTTAAGATGGGTCTGACAATTAAATCAGAGACAAATAATGTAACTGAATGCTGAACACTGTGAAATATTCATCTTTTTTTTTTTGGTAGGAAACAAAAACTTCGTATTAATAAAAATGAAGCTCACCGCTAGAACGTTCAACCATCTTCCGTTTCTTACTTTACCAAGTAACAAGATTAATACCAATAAACGTACAATAACCACAAAAAGATCGTCTATCACCATAACTACCTTCAAGTCAACGTCGGAAAAACTAATAATAGTTATGGATGATAATGGATGATTTAATAATGATTTCCCAGGAGCCCCTTTTAGATAGTGAAGTATATAACAAACAGCCTCCCAATGACGCTTACGAGGAGCATACATACACTAACTAACCACACCAATAGCATATGTAAAATCATGATATGTAACTATCATATAAATCAGCTTACGAACCAACCTCTGATAACATCCTATATCATCAAAAACTTCACTGCTATCAAGTTTCAGATAGCAAGTCCAATACGTACTTCTATTAGCACCTAGGAAGCCCATGTCGTATCCGATACGATACAAACACGGGAATATGACAAAATTTTAAAATAAAGGGCACAGGTACGGTAAAGATACGGCTAATTAAAATAATATATTTTTTTTTATATATATAATAACATTAATAATAAAATTGTGGAATTAATTAATATTTTATAACTGGACAAATTAGTTAATATTAAATTTAATAAGTGGGCTAAATGTTATGAGCAGTGAGTTGGGGGAGCTAAACGTAATGGGCTGTGGGGCTAAATGTTATGAGTAGTGAATTGAAGGGAGCTAAACGAAATGGGCTGTGGGCTAGACTAATAAGAAGTCTAATTGTTCGAGGACACCAAACCACACCATCATAACAAAGAGAATAAGAAAGGGAGAGAGCGAAGAGAGAGAACGATGCTGCGAGTGCCCTAGGGCAAACCGATCACACAAATCGCACAGAGAGAGAACGATGTTGCGAGTATCTAGAGCAAGCCGATCACACCAATCGCATAGAAAGAGAGCGTCGATCACACCAAGCCGATCTATGAGAGATCTAATGACATCAAGCCTCCAAAAGCATCAAGAAGAAGAATCCCAAAGTACCCTTATCTGATCTCAGATCTATGACGAGTTGTATAAGTAGAGAAAGATGACATTTGTGGCTGATCTCAGGTCTGTAACGTCTTCTACCTCTCTTCTTCTTCTTTTTTTTTGGGGGGTTTCGATCTTTAGCCATATCCCTCCCGTATCCGAGCCGTATCCATCCACAAAACCAACTTGATCATTGTTTAGGACACCTGTGGAACTATCAGACATGTGTCCGGCCGTGTCCAACGCGTATCCATGTCGGACACGTGTCCAACACCGCCACGGCGACCTTCAATGGAATATCCATGCTTCCTAAGTTGGCACAAACTAATACCATCTTTTGACCGAGCAATCTCAATCCCTAGAAAGCACCGAAGCAGACTCAAATCTTTGGTATGAACTAGTTTTTCCAAATAGACCTTGAAATAGGCAATACTATGAGTCATTATCACTAATAATGTCATAGACATACACAATAACAATAATAACTGCTATGTAAGACTGGCGAATAAAAATTGAATAATCTAAAGTAGAGAACTAAAAGCCAAACTGAAGTACCACTGCACTGAACTCATCAAATCAAGCACATTGTGATTGTTTAAGGCTAGACAATACTTTCTTCAAACAGCACACTAATAACCAGTAAGTTGAATCATATATAACTTTCTTGTAGATCTCCGTTTAAAAAAAATATTTTATATGTCTGAGTGATACAAGGGCCAATCAAAACTGACTACAACAGAAATAAGAACTCTAACAAAGTAAAATGAGCAACAACGGAGAAAGTCTCACAATAAACCACACCATATATTTAGATGTAGCCATTAACGCTTTAACAACTAATCGTGCCTACAAACGCTCAACAGAACCATCAAAATGATATTTCACAATATAGACCTAGTACCAATTCACTGGCAGCTTACCAAAAGGAAGAAGAGTGACGCCCAAAGTATGATTTTCATGAAGTGCTTTAATTTCCTCATCCATAGCCAGTTTCTATCTAGGAGATGTCAAAGCTTGTTTTAAAGAATTAAAATAGGATACAAAAGACAAGGTTTATGCAAAATAAATAAAGGATGAGGCGAGTCAATACAAAGAGACAAAATTAGAAATAGAATGTTGGGTACAAGTAAGAGTACCTTTCTGCAATGCAATAGGCAAATCAAAAGAGGATGATATAGTATACATGGTAGGAGGAAAGACCTTTAGAGAATCAGGTGTTGGCTGACGAGCCAGAGCATATGAAACAATCTGTCTGTTTCAGGAACGCTGATAACTCAAAAATAAGAGAGGAAGAAGAGACACATTCTAGTACGCGAGGTAACAAGAGCTCCCACTAACTGGTAGAGATTAAATCTAGGAAACGTGAACATCATGAAGCAAAAAAAAAACAAAAAAGATGACTCAAAAAATGTAACATCGGCATTGAAATAATACCAACAAGAAATAGGGTCATAACGGCGATAAATTTTTTTAGTACAAAAGTATCTCAAAAAAACACTTAACCGAGCGAGGAAAAATTTTATCTTAACCCTATCCAAGAAGATGAACCAATGCAATACAACCAAAGACACGAGTACTTAGACCAAATGGTGATGTATAGGGGTAGAGCAATGAGAACGAGAATTTGTTACCTAAGATGTAGGAGGGCATCCAATTAATAAGATAAATTTCAATAAGAATAGCATCTGCCCAATACGACTTTGGCACATGTATGGTAGATGTAAGAGTATGAGCAACATCCAATAAATGAACATGTTTGTGCAACACCTTTTGTTGGGATGTGGACATTTAGTCCGATGAATAATACCATGATTAACACAAATGTATGCATAAGTGATTGGACATATTCCAGAACAGTCAAAACTGAATATTTTAATAATTGTCAAACTGTACCAAAATTTCATTATAGAAGGTCACAAAGTCTTTAGACAATTCAGAACGATCCTTCATAAAAAACAATCAAGTCATACAAGAATAATCATCAACAAAAATCATACAATAGTAAAATCCACAAGTACTTTTTATTCTTGCCCGACCCCAAATGAATAAGTGAACAATATCAAAAAGCCTAGACTAACGACTCGTACTACTAACAAGAAAAGAACTTTGTTGATGTTTGCCTAATTGACAAGCCTCACATTCTAACATAATAGAAAGACTCAAACTAAGAATGACTTTTAGTGAAAGAACATAATCAAAAATGCCTCTGGAGTGGAGACATAGTATAGCCAGGAACTACAACTCTAGAATCCAAACAATAAAGATCATTCTACGCATACCCCAAAACCAATCACCTTTTTCGTCCAGAGGTCCTAAAAAATATGAGTAAAAAAAGGCACTAAACAATGTAAAGACTTGGTCAGCTAACTCACCGACAAGAAGTTAAATGAAAACTAAGAAACAAATAAACCAAATGTTAAAAAGACATAGTTTCGGTGAAATGGAGATCACCTGTCTCACGTACCGGCCAAAAAGAACCATCAGCTAACACAATACAAAAGTTAGGGGAATAGAAATACCAAACATGTGGGCACTAGTTGCCAAATCAAAAATTCAAGATGGTTAAGCTAATTGAGCTACCACGTGTAAAATTACCTATAGTGGCCAAACCAGTAGTTAAGGTAGACATATGGAGAGAGAGTGAGGACAACTATTGTAATAGTTGACGAAGCTAAGAAGTCAGTTCATCATGAGATCCAGGTGTAGATGTAACATTTCCACCGGTCGATGGCTAAGATTCTAGTGGGGTCGAGTCCTTAGAAACCTAATTAGTATAAGTTGGTCTTCCATGTTTATCCCAACAATAATTCTCAACATGTCCAGTAGCTCCATAATAAGAATATTTCCAGTTTGGAACAATTTTCATGACCATCTTATCCTTCCCAACCACTACCTCTACCACCACGACTACCACATTGGGTTAGATAGCGCTATGACCACCAGCACGACTACTGTCACTAAAGAGTAAAGCAGACCACTCCTGTGCGGATGACAGAGTCTCACTAGTCAATGAGGCTCTCTAAAGATAGGAATAAGTATTGGCGGTCATCAAAAGTTTTTTACTAGCTAAAATCTGATCATTAAAACGCACCATATTTAGAGTTAAGTATGGACAAGAGCAACACACTGAAATTCTTCACGCTGTCGTCGTTGTACCACGAAATCATCACTTTGAGAAAGTGGAAGTTCATTCCACAATCCTTTCAAGATACCATAAACAAGGGATTTGTTACCTTGATTGGTATTAAACGTACACTCAAACAATTTATAAATCCAAGATACATAATGTTCTTGGGAGTTCATCTTCTCAAGTGAGTCCCATATCTGTTTGGCTGTGTTAAGAAACTGAACATTAGCAGTTACACATTATTTCGTACTAAGCCACAATTAGGTCATCACCAAAGAATTCTCTCAGTCTACCAATAGTTTTGGAGGTCGAAGGGGGAAGATTTTTA